AGTTTTGCAACTGTTTTCATAACTTTTTACTTCTTGCCTTTGGCGCACTCAGACTTTGGCAGCATATAGTCCTCGATGTGTGCTACAGACATTCACAAACTGTTTGGTTTTTAAATACGGAATAAAAAGAATTACAGGCATTTTTAGAAAAGTAGCAAATTTTGGGGATTTATGGGGATATAAACAAAATTTTGTTAGCAACCCAGATCATGCACAATGAGAAAATGTATGTAAACTACTGCAAGCTAGAGGTTGACTCATTTTACACAATAGAAAAGGGGTAGAATTGAAAGACAAATGGAGGTCTGGCGCCCTCACAACCAGAATCGCTGTGCGCAAGGCTGCGGGAACAACCATTAATGCCTAAGGAGCCGAAACCTCAAAATTCGCCTAGTCTTCGCATATTGGGGTTATTTGATTTGCCGAATACGATTATCACACTTACTCAAAATAACGCCTCTTCTCTTGCTAGGGCGGAACCCCCATACCGTCAAGTCACAGTAATATTTACAAAAACCCCTACCGTGCAAATTCGGTATGGTTTTCGTGATCAGCATGTCGGATAACCTCTCTATACCAACCAGAATTGTGATGATCTGTAATTTTTCCCCTCATGCCGCATACCAGCGTAATCCTCATTGTGACATCGGTATTTGGCGGAACAGCAGCTGCGCTTGTAGCTTACGCCATTAACTATATATTGGCAAAATTTGGGTGCGTGATTTGCAAAAACAGAATACCAGTCAAAAACAGGCAATCAGCAAGAGATAACGACTTTGCGCAACATCACTCTCATGTACGCACGCGGCGCGCGTGGGCACAAATTGCACCAGAATTGGAACAAAATCAAAACGATGACTCCCGCGGTACACAGGATTTTGATGCGACCAGCCGTTTTGTGGGCGATCCCTGCGGGAGACTACTGCGAATGTCTGGATCGTTCAGGCGCTTTTGCGGACCACTGTTCTTACACTATATGCTAATGCATACCACCACTTCGTGGAAGCAAGGTCTTATCCAGGTAATTGTGCTTCTATCCCTTTGGGCGTTCTCCGTGTCTAACGTCTAGCTATTCGCCCTTCGGAGGATTCGTTTTTCATGTTTTTGCGCATTTCTAGCCACACATCTAGCTGCGAATAAGTCGAGGTCGGAGAAATTTTGGGTCGGGTTTTGCAGGATGCTGCTTCTAAGGAACCTATGCATAATCTGAGCTTCTAAGGAAATTATTGTTTCAAAGCACAGAGCACATAGTGTCAAACAAGACCAGGCAAAGCTTAATTCATGATCCTCTACGAGAATAATTAAGGTGAGTACGGACAAAATGGAAAGTGTTATTCAAGTTTTCCAGGCATTTACAGTGAAAGGCGGAATATGTTGATGCAGTTGTCTGACCTGTCGCGCAATATCTTTGCTTTCTAGGTCGTTGAAAACGTTCCTCTGACAACAAGTATTGAGACTTTAGATCGTTACAACTGTGATTTCTGCGTTCATGGAGGTAAAAAAGGAAGACTTCGAACCTCCCTCATCTGCAACTCGTTTTCAGACGACCTCTCCATTTCTGCCGATGGAAAGGACACTTTTGAAGAAGTAAAAAAAGCGAACCGATATCGAGAATGCAAACGCACAGCAGGAGTATCGACTACTGTAAGTAAGCTTAACTGAAAGAACTGGCATTACCAAACATTATTCTCCACGTTAATTGCAGGATATAGTAGGAAGGATGCTGCTAATGACAAGATCTCATCATGTACCTGAGGAGGAAATGGATGAGTACAGTGACCGAGTACACACACTAAGCACGGTTGGTTGAAGCTCACCATAAGTGTTATCCGCTTAGGCTAGATTCATACTGAGTAAGTTCCGAGACAGTTCCAGGACAGCTTTTGAAGTATGCGCTGCTCTGGAAGAGTTCCGAATCTTATAGAACAGTACAAACCCATCCTTACCTAGCCCTTCGCTGTTTAATTCGGAATGGGTTGACGTAGTAGGACAGCATTTTGATTGCTGGGTTCGGCCAATTTGCAAAGCTGCCTATGCAGGGTATCCTCCGTTTTAACATATGAGTCGCCCTAGTGGTCATTGTAGCCATGGTCAAAGGTTTTGAGCCTAGTTTTTATTGTTCAGATCCTAGCTTTGGTAATATTCCAAAAATTCATCGTGCATATAGGAGATTTAATGACATGAATAGATAATCGAAAAGGATAAAAGCAGTGACATAGTCGTAGTCCAGGTTCTGACTCGGCTGTCTTTGTATCTATATGACGTTATCATTCATTTCTGACTAAGAGACACGGGCACCTTTGCGTAGCCCAAGAAATCGGCTGCTCTTCACTGTAACATGCCGCACGCATTAGTAGCCTGTTCGACTTGAAGTAAAGTCAGTTTGGCGCATGCCTGCAGAGGGTGTTTCATACGGCAAACCTTTTATCGTGTATCCTTTATGTTCTTGCGTCATAAAAATAATGGCTAAAGTTTCGTACGTCACCACAACCAAGTTTGAAAATTTTGTTTTTTGAAGTTTCGCTTTCCGAAGATCTGTCAACGTTTGAAGCGAAAGCGTTTAATAGACAAGACTCGCTAAACCAGGAAAAACAAAAAGGCAATCGAAAAATCATAAAAGATTATTGCACTTTGTCTGCGCTACCAGTTTTTACCGTCTCTAGAGTTTGAAGGCAGTGTAATGGCAGAATTTCGTTTTCCAGTTTTCATCTTTCTCGGAGGCCAAGAGGAACCAATATCTGGGCTTTCGTGCATGAAAATGGCAAAAATGAGCTTTTTA